TAACTGTATTTAATTTTTCAGATCTAGACCTTATATCAGATGCCGGTAACGAATTAATGCAGAAGATATCTTAAATTTGGTATTGTAATTACCCAGACTATACTAGTATATAAATCGATAACTTCATCCATTTAAAATTGGCCACAGTTGTTCAAATATTGTTTTATCTGATCCTGGTATTGTAATCTTATTTTGCCCTACTGACCGGGGGATAGGTGTAACAAAGACACCACGATGTGCTGACCTAATTCGATGTTACCATTTAATACACTATTGACCGGGTTAAAATATCTCTCCTCGACGTACATATATCCAGGTTGAACATATTATACGGAATACTGAAGTCCTCTGAAAATGTTTAAAAAAACAATAAAAGAAATTAAACTAGGTGACGTGTTGCAGCAGTCTTCAGAATTAGGTTTCATCACGAGTATTTCATTCTTGAAACTTGAATTTTAAATTTAGGATAAAAAAGTGTAATAATTTCATGTAATTCTGTCGTCATATTTTACAACTGTTTGTTTTTCCGAAGTTTTAATAATAATAATAATACTTCGAGGTTCTTACATACCATTTTATCACTTAGTTCGTAGGTCATCTCAAAGCGGTTCACAAATTATTATCCGTGGTTAAAGGGCCTTTGCAAACAGCCAATATCTTTCTCACCTCCATGAGGAGCATACTGCCGGTGCTGCCATTTCGGCGCTCACAGCAAGCATTCAACAATTCTAGCACTGCCCAACCACGTATTCATTTACAGCTGAGTAGAATGGAACTAGCGGAGTAAAGTATCTTGTTCAAGGATACAACACAGTGTCGTGCCGTGACTCGAATCCACAACCCTTCGGTCATGAGCCCGGCGTCCTACCACTACACTATTCCTACACCTCAGTGCCTTCAACATGCTTATGCATAATCTAAGGATGGAGAAATATTGTCTTGCTTTAGACTTGTTGCACGAAATTATAATGGCATGACTGACATGAAACACTTCAAGCGTTTGATGTAGCCAAACGTTGTTTTTATACGTTTTAAAGGGTTTTATATACAGCTTTCCCTGTTCGCGGTATTCTACTATCGTTCAGAACAGTTTAGAAATATATTTTTAATTCTTATTGACCTTTAGTACCACTGATAAATTGACGAAATGGCAATATGGTGCATTGTAAAAGCTTAATTTGTTTAGCTTGATGAATCTTTCTTCCTTTGCTTTGATAATTGTTTACAAGATATTGCCATGAAGCGGATTTAACCTTACAGCAATTAAGCTTTTCAGCATATATTTCAATAAAAATGAAAAATAGACCACAAGAGTATGACTTTTCCAAGGTCTTAATTTTCTTCCCGAACTGTATTTAATTGTGCAAAATAAATCACAGGTACAGGTGATGTGTTTTGATCGTTCACAAGTTTCTATTTTGGTTTGTCCGAAATTGAACGTTCTCGCAACATCTATGTTCATGTGAAGGTGTGTGCCTTAGGAAATGCAATGAAGATGAAGACTGGGTAGGAGAGCAAAGCATAGACAGGTGCCCTAATGGTTACAATAACAATGAAGACTGGGTAGGAGAGCAAAGCATAGACAGGAGCCCTAATGGTTACAATGAAGATGAAGACTGGGTAGGAGAGTAAAGAATAGACAGGTGCCCTAATGGTTACAATGAAGACGAAGAATGGGTAGCAGAGCAAAGAATAGACAGGTGCCCTAATGGTTACAATGAAGACGAAGAATGGGTAGCAGAGCAAAGAATAGACAGGTGCCCTAATGGTTACAATGAAGACGAAGAATGGGTAGCAGAGCAAAGAATAGACAGGTGCCCTAATGGTTACAATGAAAATGAAGACTGGGTAGGAGAGCAAAGCATAGACAGGGGCCCTAATGGTTACAATGAAGATGAAGACTGGGTAGGAGAGCAAAGAATAGACAGGGGCCCTAATGGTTACAATAAAGATGAAGACTGGGTAGGAGAGCAAAACATAGACAGGTGCCCTAATGGTTACAATGAAGATGATGACTGGGTAGGAGAGAAAAGAATAGACAGGCGCCCTAATGGTTACAATGAAGATGAAGACTGGGTAGGAGAGTAAAGAATAGACAGGTGCCCTAATGGTTACAATGAAGACGAAGAATGGGTAGGAGAGCAAAGAATAGACAGGGGCCCTAATGGTTACAATAAAGATGAAGACTGGGTACGAGAGCAAAGCATAGACAGGTGCCCTAATGGTTACAATAACAATGAAGACTGGGTTGGAGAGCAAAGCATAGACAGGTGCCCTAATGGTGACAATAAAGATGAAGACTGGGTAGGAGAGCAAAGCATGGACAGGTGCCCTAATGGCTACAATAAAGATGAAGACTGGGTAGGAGAGCAAAGCATGGACAGGGGCCCTAATGGTTACAATAAAGATGAAGACTGGGTAGGAGAGCAAAGCATGGACAGGTGCCCTAATGGCTACAATAAAGATGAAGACTGGGTAGGAGAGCAAAGCAAAGACAGGTGCCCTAATGGTTATAATGAAGATGAATACTGGGTAGGAGAGCAAAGCATAGACAGGTGCCCTAATGGTGACAATAAAGATGAAGACTGGGTAGGAGAGCAAAGCATGGACAGGGGCCCTAATGGTTACAATAAAGATGAAGACTGGGTAGGAGAGCAAAGCAAAGACAGGTGCCCTAATGGTTATAATGAAGATGAATACTGGTTAGGAGAGCAAAGCATAGACAGGTGCCCTAATGATCACAATGAAGATGAAGACTGGGTAGGAGAGAAAAGAATAGACAGATGCTCTAATGGTTACAATGAAGATGAAAAATGGGTAGGAGAGCAAAGAATAGACAGGGGGCCTAATGGTTACAATAACGATGAAGACTGGGTAGGAGAGCAAAGCATAGACAGGAGCCCTAATGGTTACAATGAAGATGAAGACTGGGGAGGAGAGCAAAGCAAAGACAGGTGCCCTAATGGTTATAATGAAGATGAATACTGGGTAGGAGAGCAAAGCATAGACAGGTGCCCTAATGGTTACAAGAAGCAGATTAGTGTTGTTTCCTTTATGCAGAAGACAAAGACATTTTTTTCCAGGGCCCCAAAATTTCGCCTCCTTCGATAACAAGCCTTGTGATTTATAGAATGTCTATTCATTACCCGCACCCTCAAGGAGATATACACATGTAAATTGTATTTTCCTTTTCATTATTTCATCAGTGATTTGGGTGCTAGACTTGTCATTAAGTTGCAAATTCTTCATTTTAATAAATGAAAGTAATGAATTAATTGAAACAAAACAGTTACAGGAAATTGTTCTGTTTGGGTCTTTTACCACAATAACCAGAAAGTTAAACATTTCAATTGTGTCTATATTTCTTCGTGAGCTTCTCTTTAAGAGTGTTTATAGTATCACACGCGAAACCCATCTTAATGTCTCCAAACAAATCAAGTATTGTATGTTATGTCGATCTGGGAACAAACTGAACAATTGTCGTTGTCAAAATATTACTTTAATGTTACTTGTGTTAGAAACTGTTTGTATTTATTATATTTCCTGTTGGTAAAAAATGTGTTCTATTCGTACTTTGTTTACTTTGATGATACTGAACCACACTGAACTAACTAATTACAAGCTAACCCCAAGGGTTGCCCGTCTTGTTTAGAATTAAGTACGGGTCGCTTTTTATTGAGTTAAAGTACCGAGGAGTGTCAATCAATCAATAGATATATCGTTATAGCATAGCTCAGTCCTCTATCGAAGTCTGATTGGCGAGTCTCCAGTTCTTTGTCTATTTTAGTCAACGTTTTTCCCCAGGATGATGTGTGTTCCAAAAATAAGATCTTTTGAGTCAGGTGTTTGAAACTATCTTTATTTCTCTAATTAATTAACTTAAATAATTCAGGTGTATCCTTGCAGTGTGAAAACAATAGAAACAGAGGTACAAATTGGTATCCGTTGAAACCACCTGGTACAGACGTCAACATCAATCAGAGCCCGTTTTATGNGTACAGACGTCAACATCAATCAGAGCCCGTTCTATTTGTTGCCACCATATTTAACGATCCCTATCCCACTGCAGGTAAAAGACTAGAGAATTCTACTGTGATTGTTTGAACAAAAAGTAACCTCACTTAATTTCGTTTTGGTTATTACTGTGCCGCAATTTGGCCAGAGCACGTCCGTTGACCAGGAAGCTAAGCGACAGTATCACAATCTGCGGTTCAGGGTTCGAATCCCCGTCTAGCAACAGTGACTATTTTACATTCAGAACAATGTTGTCGATTACGATTTGTTTATTTTAACTTAATTGATTACTTTTGATAAAAGCCCCGCAGGTACGAGTATGGTTTTCTTTTCAGTTATTATTTATTAACGCTATAGTTATGCCGTTAAAACCAATGTCGAACGCATAGCTACGGTTTTTGGGAGTGAAACTCGGATCCTCAGGCAAACAATATTTAAACTGATATTAACATATCATGACAGTTCTCTCAATTATAATATGTCATAACAAAGTAACAGCAGACTTTTTTCCCCACGATTTTCACAGACAGATGTGATATGACCCCTGAAAACGTGTTCTACACAACAGAAAAGTGCGTCGATCACCAACGATATCATACAAAGCGAATATCTAGAATGAGATTGATGATTTACTGTTACGGCAGTCTTTGTTTGACAAAAGAAATTAACAGACGTTTTCGAAAGCTCGTAAAATTACTGTCTGTGATCAAAACAAACCTATCATTTTTACACGGTGAATCGTAGGCTATCTCAGGGGTGAGTTTTACTAAGCAACTTAAGTTACGCAAAAAATTCCAATTTACGAATTTCGTAAGTATAAACTTAAGTTACGAAGTGTCTGTTTTACTAAAGCGTTCGTAAGTTTCGTCGTAAACTTAAGTTACGAATATTTCGTAAGTTACGATTTCGGAACTCTCCCGTGTTGAAGGTAGGATTCTTCATAGAAACGAGAACGCCACGCAAGCGCAGTCGCTAGTTTCACTTTAGCCTACGACGTCGATTTTTGGCAACATACCTACATATCTGACGTAGATCACGTCATTAACGTCTGCTAATAAAATGGACACGAAGAGGCGAAAGCCAAATTGGATGGAGCGAGAGCTTGAGGCTCTAGCAGAAGCCGTGGCGCCTAAAAACGGGTTATTGAGGGGAAAATTTTGGCCGTCGCTGACCTCTGAGCGGAAGCAATCGATTTGGATCGAAATCGTAAATCAGTAAGTGTTACTGTATAATATTCAAGCTCATCGTATGGCATAGACGTCTAAAATATTATAAAGCATTAGAGCTAAATAGCCTGTTACTTTCTTTTCAGATTCGTTTTAGCATGATTTCAATATAAACGTACACTATATGTGCAACTGCAAATAATGTAACTTGATTTTCATTAAACATGAACTGATGAATATGTAACAAACAGTTAGTGTTTGTTACATATAATTGAGAATCTGTTAATAATTTATAAAATGGTGGATGTAGTTCAATATATGGGACACAAGCACTGCTACATCCAGTATGAATTGACTCTCGTGTTTAAACTCTTCCTTATATGTAGTAAAAACTTAAACATATGTAGCTGGTAAACAATTGAGGGCTGATGCAATTATTTATAATTGTTGTCAGTGGAGAAAAGAAATTGCATGGTCAGTATACATTTTAAATTCTTCATTGAAAGGTGGAAATTATATCATATATATATATATATATTATGAATATACTTTTTTTCAAAAAAGTATACTCGAGAAAAGGAGAAGGCGGAGGGGGTTAAACAATTGTTACAGTGTATGAGCTCAGATATATCTGTTGTGATATTTTGCACATGTCAACACATGTAATTTGTATGTTAATATGTTGATATGTTCTTACTCATAAAATGGGACAACAAAGATTACGGGTTTTGTTGTAATGTCTGAAGATTTTTTTTGTAATGTCAGTTCCTAAATTTCAACTGTTCTTTTCCAAACAGAGTTAATTCCATTACTATGGTTAACCGAACAGGGGAGGAGATCAAGAAAAAATGGGGGGACATGCAGTCCCTCACAAAGAAGAAAGAATCAGAGAGAAGGCGGTCTATGAAAGTCACAGGAGGTGGACCGGCCATAGACATGTTCTACAAGTCATGGGAGAACCTGGTAAGCACTATCTGTTCTAACTGTATAGTTACCGGTAATTTTGATCTTAAAACATCCAGTCAAATCCTAAAATTAAAATAGTCTGATCAGTTTATAGATCTTGGTGATCATTGTAGATTATAGGGTTCTGTATACCGGTATACTTCTAATAGATTAATGTATTTTCTGCTAATGTTTATTCTATTTTTCTGTTTGCAGTTTTCTATTTCCAATGCATGTTGTTTATTATGATATTGTCTTTGAAGGTGTTGCAGTCCCTATCGGAAGTGGCAATCGAGGGCATCAGCTGTGGAGTTGATACAGCAGAGTCAGAGAGTGGTATGTTATTTAATGTTGATTCTGATCATTTCTTTATATGCAGCGGTTGTCTATATGGTTATGGGACGTGGATCTCAATTGTCTTGTTGTAGTGTCTTGTCCTCCTTTCGTATAGGAGCTGTCCAGGGATCCTGGAGAGTGATTGGTACATCATATATGGATTAAAAAGTCATAAAAACCACTATTTGGGTTGGTCCATTAACATTCACGATATGTATCCAATAAAACAGGAACAATGTCCCTCACCACATGCACATGTACACGGTACTCCGGAGTCTGGAGATTTTAAAAGTTATTTACATTAGTATAAGATTTCTAAAAACTGGATCGTGGGCTGCTTGAATTGCTACACTACTTGCAGTGGCATAATGTCTTAAAAATGCTTAGACAGTTAAAAGCTAAAAGCTAGATATAGTCACTAAAAGCATTTAGAGAGCACTAAAGAGCACTACAAGCGGGTATTAAAACACAGCAAGCGGTATGGTAAAAGCCCTGAAGCAAGTCCACTAGAAGCGTGCGGTTAAGAATGTTATAAGTTAAAAAGACAGTTTGACGTAACACTGTACACTTTAAAAACAAATATAACTCATAGCTTGTTGTTCCTCCCCCTCCCCCTGTAATTTGGATTACAGACCGGATGATTTAACTTACCGGATTATTTAACTTTTTAAATTGTTTATACTAGTTGTGATCCGGAAACTTAGTCCCTAGGTTTTATTATGGCTAGACCATCTAGAATATCTTGATTACTTGATTAGGTTCATATATATATATCATTCTAACACGATTCGTTTGCAACGTGTGTTTTGATTGGATACGGACCATGTTCTAATCTGCGATAGAATCATAATCAATCGTGTTAAGCTCCTCCCGTCACACTTTTGCCATGCCCAGTTTCTAACCAAAACAATATGGCGTCAAGCTCGCCTCTTTGCAAAATCCCACTGATAAGGCTAGTAGGCAACAGAACAGAAACGACCGATGAAATGAATTTGTTGAATGAATTAAAAAGTAAAAATTACACATTCCTTGTTCTTACCTTTATTTATTACTGAAACGTTCGTTCCATCTGTGTGAAGGCATCTAGGCCTATTTAGATCCAAAATCAAATGAAACGTTTCGCATGTGTTGTATGCATTTACACAAAACTCTTCACACATCTATACAAATAATCACCGATTTTGTCGATATGCACAGACTGGTATCCTTACTGACATGGAAATGTAAGAACTTGGTCAATATTAATCCAAATGTGTCGTATGAACATTGGTAACAGGACGTTCACAAACAATCCAAATATTCCGCCTCGTCAACATACAGATCGAGCTCTCGCCAGTATGGGCGGGGCCAAATGACCTACTTCTGAAAGCTTCTTTCCTATTGGTCAGTTCGCTGCAGAATGACACTTCGCCAGTATTTTACTACGTCACTATTTTACTACGTACTTTAGTGCAAGGAAATACAATGTTTCTAAACATATATTTTTTTAAACATATTTTATTGTAATTTATATACACTGGGAGTTGGGCACAAGTTTTATAACTTATATTAAGCCCTTTCCCAACAATATAACTACAAGTTATCAAGATAGCATATACCATATATATTTACATTGGCTTAAATTTAATTGCGAGAGAGAGAGAGAGAGAGAGAGAGAGAGAGAGAGAGAGAGAGAGAGAGAGAGAGAGAGAGAGAGAGAGAGAGAGAGAGAGAGAGAGAGAGAGAGAGAGAGAGAGAGAGAGAGAGAGAGAGAGAGAGAGAGAGAGAGAGAGAGAGAGAGAGAGAGAGAGAGAGAGAGAGAGAGAGAGAGAGAGAGAGAGAGAGAGAGAGAGAGAGAGAGAGAGAGAGAGAGAGAGAGAGAGAGAGAGAGAGAGAGAGAGAGACAGACAGACAGACAGACAGACAGACAGACAGGCAGACGGACAGACAGACAGACAGACANCAGACAGACAGACAGACAGACAGACAAGACAAGACAGACAGACAGACAGACAGACAGACAGACAGGTGATGAAGAGAGACAGAGAGAGGGAAGAGAGAGATAGAGAGCTAGATTCTGATTAGTTGATAAACATATTAGCGTAGTAGATACTACATTGTTTTTCGTGTCTATACAGGCGATTAGAACATGAAATTTGGTTTAAACTCTCGACCTGTCTAATCGACAGTATAGCCACTCAAAACAACGTACTATCTCCTAATAATCATGGGGTGGAAATCTCAACCATTTAAAAGTTATGACCCAGAGACTTAGTCTCAATGAGTACTGGGGAAATCCTGGAATTTGAAGACAGTGGGTCAACTTCAGCTATTTGTAATCAATATCAAAATAAAGAGGGGTCAATTTTTGTAAAATTATAGGAAACTTGAAACATTGAGGGTCAATTTCAGTTTTGAGTGGTCAATGGCCCTATGGCACACTCATGGATTTTGCAACTGTTTGTTGGAATATATGTTTATTTGTTTCTCAATTCTCGCTTTTGTTTATATGGCTAGAGGGTGGGGATCTTACTCTGATTGCGATAACATAAAGCAAACTAGTGTTATTTATCATTATAGTCAAAGAATGTTCATCGACCCTGAGCCAGTCTGCCATTATACCAAATCTGGTGTCAGATGAACCCTCCACACAAGGTGAGTGGTAAATCATCATATTAAAATAAAGAAAACAAGAGGCCAAATGGGCCTGCATCACTCATTTGGTATTACTCTCACAATAGTAACCTTAGAAGTGAACTATAAAAAACCTATAGGCAACATATCAGTATTTTGACTTAAAGTCATTCAAAATAACTTGTTAAATGCTTTAAACACATTTGACCCCTGTAACCTTGAATATGTTTGAAGGTTATTTAATCCAAGCATGCTACTGGCCAAATATCATCATCCTGGGCCTTATGGTTATTCAGGAGAAGTTGTTATAAGATTTTAACATATTTGACCTTGAATATAAGTCAAGGTCATTACAGTTTTAACAAACTTGGTAGCCCTTCATCTCTGCATGATAATAAATGGCCCAATAACATCACCCTTCGGGTCAGATAAGCTAAATAAAATGATCATGAGATTTATTTAATTGTTCTATTGATAATTATAATGATCTTTCTACTTGTAAACAGGTAACAATGCAAGCTGCAGAAAGAAGTTGAAAAGTTTGGATATATCCCTAGGTGTTGAAAGTAAGTTGACATTGCTAACTATGTCCAGTATGGTAAGACAGACAGAATGTTTAAAAATATGAAAGAATGAATATAAATTACTTTATCTTATTTATTATATTAATTATTGTAATATTATTTCAGTGTCAGATGCACAAGTTCCTCTTCATTAAAAGGAGATGTCATTCGTCTTGTTACAGATCAGAGCTGAAATAGAAGGAAAATGTTATCGTTAGTAGATTGCCAGTTATGTAGTGGTTATGCATTGTACATTTCAGACGAATGTGAAAAAAACCAATCCCTTCCTTCCACAAGTTGGGACAAGCAGCAAACCAAAGGACAGAAAAGAGGTGATATATATGCAGATTAACTCTTGTTGACCCATGTGTCATAATGCTCACCTGAGTCATATTGATCTTTTTCATACACTTGAATCTACCTTTTGAAGTATTAAAGTGGTAAAAGAATGTGAATATAAGCATTATTCAATTTGTATGCTCGCATGACTGCATAAGTTGCTAAGATATATAAATAAAAAGTTGTATGTTTGCTAATGTATAGAAGTGATACACATTTTAATTTTTTGAATAACTAGTAATGTGTTACTGAAATGGAAACCATGTATAGTTTCAGTTACATAAGAAATGTAACTTGAGTTATATTTATTACTTTTTCATTTCTGTTATTGTATTGTATTGAAACCTTGACTTGTAGGTGTTCACTCAGGAGAGGCTAGTGTACAAGAACAGTTCCTTTTGTTTGAAAAGGAGAAAATGGAAAAGGTTGAAGAGAGCAGGGAAAAAAACCTTCTGATTATGAATGAGATGCTCCAGCTGCAAAGACGTAGAACAGCAGCTATTGAACAAATTGCATCATCAGACTCCAAGGCTTCCCCGCCACTCTCATTATCACCAATCATTCAATTTTATTGAAATAATACTGACAAAGCTGTTTTTGGTCATTTCTTTTGCAACAAATTTTCAATTGGTCTTTTTCAGTTTTTTGTCTTCATATTGATTAATATTTGATCAATATATATATATTTATATATAGAATGTTCTGATGTGCTTTGCAAATAAAGTTTCAAGCTGACAACTTGCCAGTTGAGAATCCGGAGTAAGGAAAATAACTCTTTTTCATATTAAAAAAATATTGTTGGAAAGACTGACTGACTACTTACATTCAAAATCTTTGTACAAGTCTTCCTCGTATAACTGAGGCAGTCATGTTGTTGTTGACTGTTGGTACCATGAATTCATCATTTCCAACCTCTGGCTCCACTGCTTCCATCAGTGGCACTCTATGGTCAATTGCCAAATTATGTAGCCGGATGGCACATTCAATTATTTTGGCACACTTTTGTGGATGATAAGGAAGACTGCCTCCAGTCTTATGTAGGCACCTAATGAAATTTAAGGAACAGCTGTTAACATTTTTTTTTCACTTGCCACATTTGAATGATTTATATCTTTAAATTCTGATCATTCTGTGTATATGTCTACTGTGCTTATAAGTTAATTGTTATTGTTATTTTAGGGTTGAACATCATCTTTCAATTAATCAATTTCATCTTTATTATCAACTTCCATATACTTCTAATAAGTTAAATAGAGATTATAGATGAATCTAATGGCACCAACCATGGAAGGATCTTTATTACATAGATCTACAAATCAACATAAAGCTGAGAAACATCTCTCCTGTAGTTTCTGAGAAATGGAGATAACAAAACTCTACATTTAAAATCCAAAATTGCCACCTGTGCTGTAACCAAAATCTTAGGTCAGTTTATGCATAACCTGTAGGAGATCATTTGTGAATCAGAATTATTCCGGAAATTTGCATTTACAGTCGCCGGTTTCGGAACTTACTATAACCGGAAGCAGTCAACATGTGTTGAAAGCACGTTGTGTGCTCCGGCACTTAAAATGAGACTAGGTCTGGCAAAGAGTAAGTAGTTTTCTACCCTATTGTATATGAGCTCTTTAGACATTTTAGGTCTAGTGTAAACATATTGTTGTTGTCCAAATATGTTACAAACTTAACATTGATTTGCTATCAGTTTATGCTGATGAAAACTCTTCGTGGTCCGACATCTTGGCCACAACTTATTATTTTCGCCAGCCTATAAACAACAGACTCTAGTTATCTTGTGTACATATGCAATTACAATTGTGTCAAATGTAATATTAACATTATATCTTAGGATATAGAATTTGTCCTGGAGTGTCGGATTGAATATGTAAACAATAATTCAACTATTTGTCTTGAAATCCTCGCTACTGGCAAGCATGTTAGAGATGTAACTTTTCTGTACATGTCAATCAGTCATTAGTCTATGGTCAGTTTGTCTCCGTAATCTAGTCATATATGCTAGATAACAGTAAATCGTACCAATACACTGTCCCTTCTGTAGGATCTCAGTAATATAATATCAAGCACTGATTTTGTCAATTTTAGTTATTGGAAATTTCATTTTTTTTCTTGCTTTTTACCTCCTCAACGGATAGATGACTGACGGACGGACTACAGGCGATTTGAATAGCTCAACGTCTGATAATGGTGGGCTACAAAGAACTTTCAACCCTACACCACCTTAAAGTTTCATTAAATGCTGCAAAAACTGGTTACATATTACATTGGCTACATACCTGAAACGGGCTTTCAGCACACCAAATGCCCTTTCTACGACATTCCTTGTCCGACAGTGAGCTGAATTGTACCGCTCTTCCTGACCAGGTCGTGGATTGTTGATTGGGGTCATCAGCCATTCCTTTAAAGGATACCCAGAGTCACCTAACAGCCAACCTCCATCTTCTAAATGTGTCAGATAGCCTGGTAAAAAGCTGCTCTGCAGAATAAATGCATCATGTGTAGACCCTGGAAATTTGCATACTGCGTTTGTGAATCTGCAAATTGAGATGTGAAATCCTTTGTTATGTTAAATGAATGAGAGTTTTCTATGCAATAGGTCATTTTAGTTTTGTGTGAGGAAAACCGAAACCAAAATCATTTTCTGGTCTGTCTGTCCAGAACTCTAACCATTACCCATAACATTTTGGATTACATGTATATGAGACAGAGACTTTATATTATACACAGAGCCAAAATTATGTGCCAGGTCAAGGTCAAATTTAAAGGTAAAAGTTCAAATATGGTTGTGTCAAACTTTGTAGGAATTTGGCATGGCCAGAACTGATGAGCACTGTATTTCAAAATCATATTTTTTTAATTCATAGCAGATAGAAAAGATAAATATAACAGAAAGGAGGAGGCTAAAGGGATGAGACTTCACATTGGTAAAACATTGCTTTTGAATCTTTTCTGACAAATGAAGATGATTGTTTGAATTGTGTATACTACATGTGAATAACTTTAAACTTAGTTTAGCTGCATACCTCAAGTCTGAATTTACTACCCCTTGCACATTTATGGCGTGAAACCCTTTCCTGCACACATAAAGGTGTTCATCACCTGATGACATTCCTTGAATCGGAATCTGTGTGCCATCAATTGCACCAACCACATTCGGAAACCCAGCGATTTTGTGAAATGCTGCCTTTACTCTCCGTATTTCATCGACAGTGGTGGGGAATTCAACATTCTTTAGAGTGTCGCAGATTGCATTGATGACACGGTGAATTATCAAACTGCCTGATGACTTAGATATACCATGAATATCTGCGATCTCTGAGAGATAATCTCCTTTGGCCAGAAATCTCAGACAGGTCAAGACCTGAAATTACAAATGTAGACTTAAATGTACAACCAGATGATGTTAACATTTTGTGGATTTACACACCCAAAAGGATATAATTATGTTGGCAAAATATGCAATAAAACTGGTATTGTATGTTGTAAAAAAACTGTTTTTTTTATGAAAAAATATTATACAATTATGGACTTCAGGTGAGGTCTATCCCTGATTTACAGGCTCCACATAGCGTTAAAACAAATGGAAAGTCAAACATCAATTAAAACCAGATTATATACCAAATGCTTGTATGGATAAGTTGAAGATAGCACGTGTAAGTTTCTTATTATATCAGAAATACACTTGCTAACTGAATACAAATTGAAAAAAAGCTGAATTAGTACATGTATTTCTTGCTTAAACTAAACGGCACGATCTCCAATCAATAAAGAATCAGGGATAGACTGAAATTACCTAGGCCTATGTTAAGTAGCTGTTTGTAACATTTTCCTTTTTATAGGCTGAGGTCTGTAACAGAAACATTTTCCTTTTTATAGGCTGAGGTCTGTAACAGATATAAACTCGTCACATGATGTTCCTCCAATCAGGGCTTGAAATTAGCACCAGTCATACAATAATAAGAAATATTCATGGAGTTTTTCAAAATACTTTATCTGACAATATCTTAGGTTATTCTAAGCATCATGAAAGATCTGGAATCATTGATTCTATCTAAATGCACTCTTATTCTCCAAATTAATTCTCCAAAAACTCTTAGATCAAAATTTCCTTTATCAGAAGTTGCTAAAACCCCATATATTTTTTTAGCAATTAATAATTGGCTTTAGCAAACTCAGGGAATCAATTTGTGATAAATTTAACATTTTTCTACTTTATTATTTTAATTAACAGGGTTTATAAACTTTGTCATCGCTACAAATCATTTCCTTTCCTTGTTTTTTTTTAGCTCACTTGGTCCAAAGGACCTTATGCCATACCGCAGCTTCCGTCGTCAACTTTTCCTTTAAAACGCTACTAGTCCTGAACAACCAAATAGATTTTGACTAAATTTGGTCTGGAGTATCCTTAGGCCAAGGGGACTCAATTTTGTATAAACAGTGAGTGTGGCCCCCTTGGGGCAGTGGGGCTGGGCCAAATAGGGGAAATAGAGGTAAAACCTTGAAAATCCTTCTTCTACCGTAGGAATTAAGGGATTTTATCCTAATTTAGTTTGGAGCATCTTTGGGCCAAGGGGTCTCAACTTTGTATAATTGGTGGATATGACCCCCCCCCCCCCCTAGGGGCATAGGGGTGGGGCTCTGTTTGTTCTCGCTATATCTCAAGTACTGGATGGATCTTTTTGAAATTTCATATTTACTTACAGCACAGGTCTACCATGGAGTGCTATATCTTTACTTCATACCAAGTATTTTAAACATATTCAGGTGAGCGATACAAATCATCCATGGTCTGTCGTCAGTCTTTAAACAATTCTTGTTTTCGCTATTTCTAAGGAAGTACTAATGATATATTTCTTAAATTCATACGTATGTTCCTCTGGGTCTCCAGCTGTGTGACTTTGTGTTTGCTATTTCTCGGGGAAATACTGGAAATATCTTTCTCAAATTTGTTTTGTAGGTTTTCCTTGGTCCTTCGTTGTGCATGTTTACTTTTGAGCTTTGATGGAATAAACAAAATGGTTAACTGAAGCTGCGTTAACTGTTAACATGACTCAATAAAACAAATAAGAGAAAAGATTGAACTGACATAGAACTTAATGAAGATGAAACAATGGTAGGCGCCAAGATTCCTCTTGGATCTCTTGTCTAGGCCTTCCCATATAAAAACTTCATCTAGAGATGATAGAATTAGAAGACATATAAATCAGAATATTCAAATTATCTTATATATTTAAATTTATCGTGAACAATCATAAAACATCAGAATTTTAGTTCATCAACTCTGGTCAAAACCTGACAATATCCTCTGTATTCAGGTCTTTAGTGTTTCCCAAAGAATAAACATAATTCGCACCTCTGAGAGGGGTCCTCCTTAAAAGCGTCTTC